AGAGCAATGTCTCAACTGTAAAATATGCAATGAAATTTTGGGGCCGTTAAAACTGTAAGATGTTAGAAGAAGAAGCTTAAGCTGTGCTTATGTCGACAAAGACCGCCGTCCTAATTAGCATAATAACGTGAAAATAATGATGCACAAAAGAAAATATATGATATATTCCACTTACCTCGCGACATGTCGACAACTGGATGTTCTACGATACCTCATATCATGTTATATTATCAGTAGGTTTCAGCCACATTTTCGATGATTAGTGTACGAAATCACGCTGAGACGTCACAACGGTTGAGCAGATTGTAACTCTCCAAAGCCCGCGTCATAGCACCTATCAATATTATTAGGTCAACAGATTATAATTAGTATATCAGTAATCTCTTGATCAACAGTGCGGTTCTCTTGAGAACCATTTACCGTATGATTCATGTTAACTTGTTCCTGAAAGGCAAAACCTATTTGACGAGGGCAAAATTATGCTATAGCGACAAACTTCCTTGTGATTGTGGTATTCACTCGGTCCTAGCAAGTTCTACACTTACATGCAGTCCCTACTGAAGAAATTAACCTTAAAGGATGGGCCCTGAAAGTAATGAAGAAGGCCACTCGTTTTGATGAAAAACCAAAAAACTACCTCGAAGAAAAATTCTTCTCAGGGCAGGAGGCGGGCCATAAAGTCTAAGCAGTTGCTGTAGCACTAGAGATGAGGTATACGCAAAAGATGAGGTCGGAAGTAGACGGTTCATCTTAGATGAGTTCTTGACTCCTTCGTTCCTTCTTCTCCAAGGTGACTGCAAAGCCTCAGAAACAGACAGGATGAGGTCCTCGAAGAAGACACAACAGCCGCTGAGGATCAACCCGAGCTGATATTCTTGAGAAGTGTCAGTTAACTCATCCAATTGCTTACGACACATTCAACTTGCGTGACTTAAACTCATCTAATGGCTTTAAAAAGCTAAGCTCTCTCTGGATATGCGAGCATTTTGATCTAGATGTTTGCAACATCCCAAGATCGCGCAAAGCGCCCTACATAGAGTTGATGACTAGTGTTGTGCAGACATGCAGCTGTGCTCCATCACAGAACTGAACAACATTAGCTGCTTTGGGGTGTCTCAGGCTCATAAAGAACAGTGCCTACTAAATACAAACATGTTTTTGCAGATTAGGAAAACGTGGAAAAAGTTGATCTTAGCTAGGGTTTTTGGAATCCACAAAGAAAACTGGGGGTTAGCCTGCGAGTAGGCTCACGCTGGAGCACAAGCACTCTGTCACCACTATGTTCCTGACTGCCTCTTCACCAGACTCCTTCCCGCCGGATCGCTCTGCTCTTCGCCGCTCGCGCGCGTGACTCAAAGGTGAGCCTGCTCGCAGGCTAATTTGGGGCAGCCATTAATTTTTCCGAGATAATCAGCCTCGAATCTCGAAGAAAACTGCTGATGTTAGCATTTTTCGGAAAAAAAAGGAAAAGATATTTCTTCACAGGTTTACCCAGAGTTCGCCTTTTCATGCAGAAAACTAACCTTGCTTACGGCTGACGCGCAAGAAATTTGAATTGACCATTCAGAATTCAGCAGGTGGGAAAAACTTAACTACCCTGACGTCAATGTAAGCTAACAGGAAAGGCATTGAAATCAGGCAACTTTTCTCGCTGGAGATGACATTAAATATTCTCGAAAAGGGATTTACAATTGCAAAAGCTATGTTAGATTGTAAAAAGAGAGAAATATGATTGAAAACATTATGTGTCTCCGAGCATCTGATTTGCGCCAAGAATGGGTTGCTGGTGTCCGGCATGGCAACTCGCTCGTAGTTCGTCGAGTGTCGCCAGGTAGGATAATAGTTGTGTTATTTTAAACAAAATATGCTGTCCCTCGTCAAAATAAACCCAGCATTCTCAAGTTAACTATTAGGAGAGGCCAAAGCAACTTAAGCATTGTCGTTATTTTTGTTAGCCGCGAAGAAAAAGAATATTATCCTGTCGTTTTGGTAGGACAGCTCAGTTTTGATTGTCGTTCGTACTGCGGGCGCAACCGCCGTATGCAAGGAAACACATATAAACATCTTTAAGCGACATGGTAAATGGTAACATAAAACCTACTCTTGGTATGTTTTTAATAACAAAATCGTTGCAACAGCGCTTTTAGCGTCCCTGAAAGATCCCCTCTGGCTTAGCCAAAATACAGTCTACATAGCCTTTCCTCACAACCAAAACCTAATCACATGTTGAAAATAGGCTTGCCACTTCCATTTCATAACATAAAATGTAGCGGTAATCACCCGTTTTCAAAACTTAAATGAGTTGTTTTCATCCTTTCGAAAATTTTGTTGCTGCCCGTTACATTTTTTTTCTGTCACCTCCCTAGTAAGTCCAACATTGACGTCTCTCGCACTTGTTTTGCACGCGCATTATACCATCTGCAGTTGGATTTCAATATGATTTTTTCTTACGGATACGATAACAGCAAGCTTTTTTTTAGCTGGAAGACGTTAGCTACTTTTCTGGTGTTCCTGGTTTTAGTACAGGTTCGCAATTTTAGTGCGAAATTTGTTTCGGTCACAGTAGGATTTTTTTTAATTTGTGTGCTTGGTAGGGTAGTTGATTACGTCGCGCGCGTCTGGCGTTTAAACCATGCCTTACATGATGCAGAGACCGTGTGCGCACAAAAAAGTAGGCACCGCCCTTAAAGTGCTCGTAACGTCAAAATTTTTATTTTCCCATCTGATCCTATATTTCACGCAATGAACTTCTGCGAAAAAAATTTTTCGATTTAGACAAAACGCAAGTTTTTTTAACGAATTTTTAAAAACCTGAAAATCCTATTTTCTTGCGGTCGACCCCCGCCGCTGATCACAAGAACGACATACTAATATAATTGGCCACGTGACTGAAGCTTGTGACGTAGGTTCAGGAACCTTGCGCTCTGCCCTAAGTGCACAAAAATACATCGTAGGAGCAACTATACAAAATTGTTTGTCTTGGATGAAGAGTTATCTGGTACAGAAGTCGATAACACCGTGGAATACAGGCAAGACGAATTTGAAAGTGTAGAAGTGAAGGCCGCAGAAGGCGAAGCGAGCGGACGAAGCTATGAACGTGAAGACGATTCGCTCGAACCATACGCAGACGAACCGCTGGCAGATGAAGAATGGCTAGAAAATTACCGTAAGGGACAGGAAGAAAAACAAAACTTAGAAGATCTCTGCTTTTCTTCGATGGTGGTTCTTGATCGCAAACTTCACGGCTAATGTACGCGCATCGAAGGAAAGACACAAACCTCTACTTCG